AAAGATGGTTGTGATCTTCCTGGGCATTGTTGCAAAAACAGCAAACCGGATTGACCTGGATAGATTTTTTTATTAACAAATCAGCAACTTTCAGTTTCTGCAGAATGGCCATCCAAGTTAGTATAGAATATCTAAGCGAGTAAGATTTATAACATACATACTTGTGCCAGTTCACCTCCTCTAAATGAGCATAATAGGAATTCAAAAAAATTTTAAATTTCAGGTTTAAAGAGCCATCCCAAGCCAAAGCCGGTTGCTCTTTAATCTCAATGGCGCAAATAACATGTTTCATATTATCGGGAATATAGTCTGGAAGGGCCCAAACATTGTCCCTTATACAACTATTAACAGATAACCCAGTGAACCTTTGATTTATCTAAAAAAATTCAGATAGTCTTCCCCTTTATCCACGGATCCCAGCATAAAGAAAACTTGGAAGTATAATTAATATTGAAAGAGAAATGATTCTTAATTTTATAAGCAGTGGAACAAATAAGTTTCCAGAATTTTGAGGCTTTGGCAACCGGAGGCTTCCAGAGGGAGTAGTATTTGCTTTTGAACCAAGAGTAAATCAAACTATCCTGAGTAAGCAAATTCCAAATGAAAGTGCAGTGATAACTATAATAACAAGCATCAATAGAAACTATACCTAAACCACTATTTTGCTTAGGGATAACCGTATTCTCCCATGCAATCATATGCACTTTCTTACCATTAATGTTCCCATGGTATAAAAATTTTGAACAAAGCTTGCTGATAGTCTTACAAATGGCTTTAGGTATGATAGACCCTTTGATCCAATAGGCAAGAGTATTTGAAATAGTGAATTTAAGAAACTGAACTCTACCAGCTAAAGAAAGAAATCTCACCTTCCAGCCTTCAAGAAGAGAAATAATTTTATTTAACAGCACTTGGAATTGATTAGCTTTCAGCCTATCTGGTGATATAGGAATCCCCAGATACGTAAGGAAACTACTCCTCTGAGTAATACCCATAATGCTACAAAATTGTTCAGTATCAACAGTGTTATTAGAAAAAATAATAGAGCTTTTAGTGGGATTGATGTTAAGACCAGAAGAATCCGCAAATTCAGTAAGAATAATCATAAGGTTAGAAGCATTTTGAGCTTTAGCCATCCCGAAAACAAGAAGATCATCAGCGTACATAAGGTGATTAAAATTCTTGCCATTAATATTAAAAACAAGATTATTATTTCTCAAATAATTTGACGTGAGACTGCAAGAAAGGGCATCCATAACAATACAGAAAAGAATGGGTGATAAAGGACACCCTTGTCTCAGGCCAGAGGAGGAGTTAAAAAACCCCTCCAAGGACCCATTCAGGCAAATAGAAAAATACACATTAGAAATACAACAATTAATCCAATTAATAAACATATCAGGAAAACCCTTATGCCTCATCCTATTAATCAGAAATTTATGAGAAACAGTATCAAAAGCCTTCTTGATATCTAGCTTAGCACAAAAAAGATTGCTATTAAAATTAAACTCTCTAAGCACTTCCGAAGCAAGCAGAATGTTATCAGTAGTGCACCTGTTATGAATGAACCCAGCTTGGCTCTCGTGAATAATTAAAGGTAAGACCGTCTTCATACGATTAGCCAAAAGCTTAGCAATAATTTTATAAAAAAACATTGCATAACGATATAGGCCTGTAGTCATTAATATTAGAAGCATGCGATTTTTTAGGAATAAGAGTAATAGCCGAAGCTTTCACCCCTTTGGGAAGGTGACAAGAAGTGAAAAAACTTTTAATTGCTTTGCATAACATATGCCCAATAATATGCCAAGATTTTTTATAAAAATCAAACGTATAGCCATCAGGACCAGGTGTAGAGGAAGAGGAACCGTTAAACACCACATTTTTAATATCTAAATCAGTAAACGGCAAAGTTAAGGAGTCAACCAAATTAGAGGGAATAATGTTACCAACAGGAATATTGAAACCATTCTCATTGAGAGGTCTGGGAGAGTTAAAAACCTTTTTAAAATGATTAATAATAGCATCAGCAATACTGGTCTTGTTATCAAACTTTCCCTCAGAAGTGGTGATCTCTTTGATGACGTTAATATTGTTTCTAGATCTAATATGAGCAAATAAAAAACCAAGATCATTTTCCCCATTCCTGAGCCATTTAGTCTTTGCTCTTTGGTACAACCAAGAGGACCAAGCTTTGCTAAGAATATTCAGATTGTCACAGGACTGTTTATAACGTAAATTTAAATCCATGTTCAACGGATCCTGCTGCAAGTCCACAATATATTGTTGTTGTTTATACTTCAAATCATTCATAGCATCTAACAGGTAGCAAGAAGAAGACCAATTTTTACTCTTAAGAGAAATTTTAAGAATCTGCAAAGATTTATAAAAAGCAGCAATAGAACTACAATTAAAATGTCTATCAAAAGCATTTAAAACAATCTCCCAAAACCCTTCCATGTTAACCCAAAAGTTTTTAAACATGAATCTAGACGGATTTTTATCACAATTTGCAACAGCTAAAATTAACGGGGAATGATCAGAGTTATGAGTAGGAAGTACTTTATAAAAAGCATCATGAAACCTCTCAAGCATAGCATTGTTAGTAAGCATCCTATCTAATTTAATATGAATAGGTGAATCAAGTCTTTGATTATACTAAGTATAGAAAAGACCAACAGATGCTAAATCAAGAAGACCACAGTCAAAAATAACTTTGTTAAGCTCACCCAACTGGCTATTATGGGTATTCTGGCCTCCGGACTTCTCATCCTCAGATCTATAGCAGTTAAAATCACCCATAATAACCCAGGCCATAGAGGGAATCCGGCACCAGATTTCTCAACTGACCCCATAAAATATTCATATCATAAACATTATTAGCAGCATATATAACAGAAATTAAAACGGGCGGATGAGTACCAACAGTGACAGTGCCATGGATGATTTGTGAAGCAATAAAGAGGGGAGAGAAAGTGATAATAGATGGATTCCATTTAATCCAGATTCTACCTGGATTAGAATGATCAAAATTATTAATACTATCTTCCGTATTAAAAATCATATGCGAATTGACAAACCAGGGGTCATTAATCAACTCATTGTTAACTTTAGCTTCTAAAATGCACAATAAACCGAGATTATTACCAGTAACCAGCTCTCTACAAGCTTTAACCTTGTTAGGGTTATTGAAACCCCTAACGTTCCAACAGCCAATATGCGGAAAAAACATTAATATTTAGAGTTTTTCCCCTTCCTGGCCGACTTAGCTCTAGCTAGTAGTCATAGAGACCGGTGAAGTTTGATTTTTGTTTCCAGAAGAGGAGGGAGAGGAGGAAACTTCAGTAACTAAATTAAAATCATGTAAATTACTTACAGAGTCAGTATCCTCCATCACTTGGTCCGGAGGGTCATCTGTTTGAAGAGCCGAGAATTTGTTTGACAGCATAACCTTAACTGGAGGGATTTCAGAGGGAATAGAAGGTTGCCCAGAGGAGGAACTTTCTTCAATAGGAGAATTCAGATTAGGAATAATTGCATCATTTTCAATGCAATTATTAGGAATCAGGGGAGAAATTTCCTTTTCTAACGCCTGAGATAATTTTGGAAAGGAGTTAATGGTCATGTTATTACCTTCCAGAATGACCTTTTCCGGATATGTGGGCTTCGCCGAAGCTAAAATTTCCTTTTCCGGAGAGGTGGGCTTCGTCGGAGCCGAAATTTGGGATCTAGGGTTCCGGCTAAGACTTCTACCTCTGTTTTTGGATTTAGAAGGGGGAAGAACCACCGGCACAAGGTTTGGGTTCGACTTGCAAGCAGCATAACTGTGAACCAAGGATCCACAACCTTCGCACCGACTTGGCTTCCAGTCGTAAATAACTTTGAGCATGATATCTTCTCCTTCTATGTTGATGGGAATTTCATCCGGGAGAGTTGATTCTTTAGTGATAGAAACACATACTCTAGCATATGTTAATCTAGCTCTTTTAGCAGTAAGAGAATCAACAGATAAGGGGTTACCAATATAACTGGCTATAGTAGATATTCCCTTTGGGGTCCAAAGAGCCAAGGGGAGATCAACTATTTTATCCAAAGGGGAATAGAAGAAAGTTCATCCCTCTTCGGTTGGAATTTAGGGGACCATTTTTGGAGAATAAATGGTTTCCCTAACATGAACCATGGTCCTCCAGACCAGACAAGATCAAAATCTTCTTGGTTAGAGAATTTGATCAGGAAAAAACCATCCGCTAACAAGAGTAAGGAAAACAAACCTTTCAGTATCCAAACCTTTTTCATTGCTGCGAGAAGTCGCTCATAATACGGCCTTGGCCCTAGAGAATAACCAATCAACGAAAAAGACCATACCGAGATGCCTTCGGAGAGATCTTCTCCCTTAAAAAAGAGTTTTTGATTTGGGCGAACAAAGGAGACCGGGAAATCTTCTTTAGACACAGAAGGATTTGCCGGGTTTTTTGCGAAGGAACCATTTTGAGATGCTGGAATCGGACCCAGGATGGAAGAGTTTTTAAGAGGGGGGAATTCGTTTATCTCCATCAGGGAGAGGATTTACCTCTCCCGATCGGAGGAACGAAGGTGGCGCGGGGGTCAGAGCGGAGAAAACCCTAGGATCGCCAAAATATCCCAGAGCACTCAGCGAAAACTAATTCAATACTAATAATACTTATTCTACGAAAAATATTTATTATCGTAAATCATAATCAATGAAATGATATTAAAGGATGGATTATTGAAAGATGGTATTTTTTCAAATATTTTATGTGCTAATAGTTCTTTGAATTAATCACAATGCCTGTTATAATCATCGGTAATTGACAAATTTCTGCCTATATAAAGGCTTGTCTCGACTGCCCAGCTATTGGCAAAACTGCTGTTGAATGCTATCTTTTGGACGCTTATGGAAGCATTTCAAGGTGAAGTTTGTGATTTTTTTGGCCCTTTTCAAATCTTCATCTTGCCCTATGAGCTTGAGTGGAGTGCCGATGGCTAGAATTCTGTTATTCAAGAGAAATTATTTTGTGCGGAGTTCGAACGGGAAGAACTGTCCGGACATGTGAGTGTACACATTTATACACAGTGTGCATCAAATTTTTGCACACTACTGGCGACATAGGTCGTAAGGACCGTTGGTTGGTCATGGAGGTCGGAAGGATCGTAGTTGACATGTGAAGGAAGTCGGAAAGACAGTATTTTGGCGACGGATCGGAGGTCGGAAGGACCGTAGTCGACATGTGACAGTGGTAAAAAAGACTAGTGTTTGGCGATGAAGGTCAGAAGGACCATAGATGACAGCTTGGTGGAAGTCTAACATTAGTTGGTGGTCGGATGGTAGTTCGACTTCAGTTGGTGGCTGGCAAGAAGTTCGACGTCAATCGGTTATTGGGCAGAAATTCAGCGTCAATCAGTGGCTGGGCGAAGTCCGACTTCAGTTGGCAACCAAGTGTAAGTCTGGTGTCAGTCTTTGACCAGGTGAAAGTCTGACGACAGTTAGTGGCCAAGAGGTGATCTAGGAAGAGCTTGGTGGCAAGATAAATCATATCTTTCTTCCTCTCTCCTCTATTCTTTCTCTCCTTGCTTAACCCCCCACCAATCGGTGGCTGGGTGAAGTACGACTTCAGTTGGCATCCAAGTGTAAGTCTGATGTTAGTCGGTGACCGGGTGAAAGTCTGACGACGATTAGTGACAAAGAGGTGGTCGAGGAAGAACTTGATGGCAAGATAAATCTCTCCTCTCTCTCTCTCTCTCTCTCTCTCTCTCTCTCTCTCTCTCTCTCTCTCCCCCCCCCCACACACACACACACACACATGAGGAACAAGGGGTTTATTTATAGCTTTCTAAGAGTGGCATGACCAGTAAATAGAAGAGAGATCAAGGGTAAGTTGGGAGTGGTTTGAATGGACGGTCGATGTTGATTCCCTTGTTCGTGAATCATTTATTAGACATTTGAATGCTTTAGTGATGTTAGAATTTGGCTATCTTGTGCTCGTTGGATTCGCCTCGTTGAGCCGCTCAATTCAACTATAACCATGTCATGTTTGGATTGCTCATCCAATTTATAATTTTAATCCTCCAATTTGATATGGACCCATTTGGGATCGGATTGAGTTGAATTTGGTGTCATTGGGTTCATATTTTCGAGAGTTTTAGTTTGACTGTAAGTTTGCATAAGATATCTATAATTTATGAAATTATTAGGTGCGGAGTCTGGGCGTAGGTCATGTTCGGACTTCAATAAAAGACAGTCATGTTATCAATATACATATTTTGTACTACTTTGTATATAATGTGTGTATAATAGATACACTATGTCTTGACAACATAACATTTTTTTATTGGAGTTTGGATGACGTATGATAATTTCTCCTATAACGTAAAGACCATATGCTATTTATTACTTTAAAAAAAAATAAATGATTGACATATGATGACTATCAAAAGAATGATTGAAAGCAAAACAATTTAGAAGAGAAATTCACACACACATTCGACGCTGCATAATTTGAAAACCTCTAACGCGTATAATTCTCTCCCTCGCATTAAGCATTGATAATAATGAACACTGCAATGCATCGTTTTTTTTTAGTTAAAAAAAAAAACCTAAAACGCAATCGCTCATCGAAGAAAAGAGACAGTACATGATTCATAATAGTGAAGTCAGTTTTTTTTTTTTTAGTTCACGTTTGTGACCATAATTTATTTTTATATATAAAAAATAAGAGCTATTAGAGATTGAATAAAAGAATAAAAATAATTGCATATAATTTTACTTTTAAAACATTAATAATAATGATACTTTTAAAATAAGTTATTTTTTTTGTTTCCGCGGGGGGGGGGGGGGTGGGTTGCGCCACAAGCCCACTTAGCTCTGCCATTCCCCAAGACAAAAAAAGACAAAAAAAGTGGCGTCCTAAATCATTAAAATAACAAAAGCCCAAATCCTAACATGTTCTCATAGATGCGATTGGGTAGTGGCCATTCTGGTGACTGATTTCTTTCACATGATTAGAATATATATAGAAATAGTCATATAAAATTAGTAAAATACATAATTATTGTAAATATTCTCACACTCAAGATTTATTACAACTATTTTTTTAATAAATAATAAAGAATAAAATTGAGCGCGAAAAATCATAGCTATTTTTGTCCATTAAAAAGCACGGAATTATTTGAGAAAAAGTAATAGGTTAAGGCTTTATGAATGACATAAAATTTTTATGAACTCATGTAATGTTATTTGGTGGGAAATCACTAAATATCTTGATTTTTTATTTCTCTCCTTCCATTGTTTCATAATGCAATAGAGACAAAACCAGTTTTCATTTCTTCGAACCATTTGCTAAATTAATGGGCTATGGGCCCCATCTTCAGGAAAAGCCCATCATCCTGAATTACTTTGACATTCAAATTTTATTTTATTTTTCATAAGGAGAAGCAGCTTATTTAAGAAATTAATAAGAACACCGCCATTTATGTTTTCTACCTATAATAACATCAAATTATTTTATTTCATGCCTTAATATATATATATATATATATATATATCTATATATATATATATTATTATATATATATATATTTCAAATTATTATTCAATTATAAAAAACATAGAAATAATTTTAATTTAAGTAAAATATTTATTGAGTTTGGTGGTGTGGAAAACCATAATTGCAAATATCTTCCAAATCAGTCATATTAAGAAAAATATAGAAAAGATCATAATGATCAGCGTTTTCCATATATTTTTCCAAAGAAATTTTTATTTATTAATTTTATCACACTGTATGCAGCATAAGGAGCTTCATAAAAAAAAATTACTGAAATTTTTTTAATAATTCCGAATTTGTAAATATTTCTAACTCAAAAATTAAAAGTTAAAAAATTTGTCAAAACGTTCAATATTGTTGTGCAAAGAAAGGTAATAGATGATGTTTGTAATGCTAATAATAATTAAAAAAATTTGGAACAAAACTAGCTAGAGCTCTAAACAATGGTTGTCCAAATTTGACTCTCTTGTACAATTACATTACATGAATAATATGATATTGCAACGAATTTCGTGACTTAAGTTTTATTTGCGATTGTTTTTTTAGAAAATTTTATACTATAAAATCTTTTAAGAAAGCAGCAAAAAAGCTGTCCCTTAGGCTTCGTTTGAGGATTTATTATTATGTGCAGAGTCCGGATGTCATCCGGAGACCAATAAAAATACTTTAAGTCACCCCAAAATATGCCGCGCTCGGCACCAAGAGTAACCGGACGATTCTCCCGTAAGGTGTCTGCACATAATCATCTCTCTCTCATTTGAGACGATTTTCTTACTGCTTCTAAAAATAAATTTTAAGTATAAAAATTAAAAGTTTTATACTAAAAAATTGCTTTAAGAAGTAATAAAAAGTTGTCCCAAACGAAGCCTTAGACTTCATTTGAGTCAGCTTGTGACCACCATTTTCTTATGCCTTCATGAAATTTTTGTACTAAAATGTCGATTTGAAAAATAGTAAAAAAATCGTCCCAAACAAAATCTGAGTTAAAGGGATAGATTGAGCTAGGAGTGAAAGGAAAATTGATGACTTTCTTGAAGTTTTAAGGAAGAAGAAAGGAAGACTAGCATTTGAGGTATGAAATTGTTCAGTTAATATTGCTGAGAGTAGTATTGAATTCTCATATTCTGTTACTCAGTAGTCCTATTTACAGGTTTACAAGAAATCTTTCCTTACAATTAAACATTACCTCTTGCACTTATCAGATTGACAATAATGTCCTATAAAATTCGCGACAGTAAATTCTGTCGCAAAAACACTTTATTCCTGAAGTGCATGCACAATGGCCAGTGCTATCTGGGAAACAATAATTGTCTCTATTTCAAAGCAAAGCGGAACTGCGGAAGCCTCACCAACCATTCATTCTACTGTACACAAATTGAAACCGCAACATATGAAAGGCATCACTCAATAAATTAATCACCAATAAAGAGCACCATTTCAAGTTCATTGAGGGGTATAATTGAGTCAAGTTGACTAGTGAGCGAGTTTGAACTCGACTCTTCAATCAACCATGCTCGACAAGTCAAATTTATCGAGCTTGAATATGATTTTGAGCTCGAACAGAGCTCCGCTTGACTTGTCAGCTCGTCGAGCAGCTCGTGGAAGAGACAGGGTGGGATAAAGGAAATCTCGGTTGCTGTCGGGCAGGAAAACCAAAATGATGGAGCATGCAGATCTTGACTGCGAACGGGACGAGGACGAGCTCACGATGACGGATCTTGTCGGCGGAACTTGGGACAACGACAGACCTCGGGACGACAGCGGACGAGACGACGAGCCTACTAGGGACGGAGCTTGACAACGGA